TTCTTTCTCATTTCATCTCTAAAGTGTTCGGCGCAAGGATCACACGGATAAAATTGTGAAAATGTCGTCAAAAAGCTCTTCATGGAACGTTGTTGTTCATAAGAAGGAACTTCGGGATAATAGGCTGCCATGGTGTGCAAGAATGTCCATGTGGCTCTGCCGAGTTGTTCGACGTCTGGAGGACACTCCTGAGGTGCTTGTGGTATAGACGAGGTTGAAGCAGAATTTAGCGCGATCGCACTGAACGTTCCCACAGCTTCCGTCACGCCATGCTGTTTCTTCCTTTCCTGTTTCGTCCAATCTCTGAACGCGGTGCAAACTCGACATGGTTTCCCATCCTTGCCCAAGACAATCCCCTTCGGTGTTTTTTCAAGAACAGTAGAAGCACTCCTAGAACTTGATCCGTGCTTACTATCGACTTCTCTTACTTCTGAGGTCATGATGGATAAAAAAACTTTCTCGTTGCACAGATCGTAAATAGGACATGACGTCTGCAATATTTGGCTTTTACTCACAAGTAGAAAAATTTCATTACTATATTTGAGTTAATAGCAAATACTGTATTTAATAATATTATATTATATCTCTTTTGCAATAAAGATTTAAAAATATATATACTTTATAAATCTCAAAGAGCATATATTATATAGATACAGTATATAAAATATTAGGAAAAAAGAAAAGTACTATTAAAAATTAGTAAATATTAGACTTGTTTAGTTTTATAAGTTTATTTGTAATAAAATTTGATTGTTTAAAAAATATATAATATTAAAATTTTATTTCTTTTTTTTAATCAAACAACAAATATAGAAGGTTTCAAAAATAGAAAAATGAAAAAATGTATTATAAAAAATATTAAAGAAAATTAATTTATATAAGAATAACAGATATCAAATATCTGATAATAAAAAAAATTTAAAAAATAAAAAGTCAAAGTTTACACTAGTCAAAATAGTGCCATTCGGCATGCTGCCACTCGTCAAACATTCGAATACAACATTCGGCATAGTATTA